AATTTGCCAATCTTGGTGTTCTCTGGCAAATGCCAAACGTCCTGCACAGTGTTGGGCTGTAAGCACAACCCCCACCTGTGGACGTCGGGCCCTCATACCACCCTCATGGAGTCTGTTTCTGACCGTTTGAGCAGCCACATGCACATTTGGGGCCCGCTGGAGGTCATTTTGCAGGGCTCTGGCAGTGCTCCTCCTGTCTCTCCTTGCACAAAGGCGGAGGTAGCGGTCCTGATGCTGGGTTGTTGCCCTCCTACGGCCTCCTCCACGTCTCCTGATGTACTGGCCTGTCTCCTGGTAGCGCCTCCATGCTCTGGACACTACGCTGACAGACACAGCAAACCTTCTTGCCACAGCTCGCATTGATGTGCCATCCTGGATGAGCTGCGCTACCTGATCCACTTGTGTGGGTTGTAGACTCCGTCCCATGCTACCACTAGAGTAAAAGCACCGCCAGCATTCAAAAGTGATCAAACCATTCAGCCAGAAAGCATAGGAACTAAGAAGTGGTCTGTGGTCATCACCTGCAGAACCACTCCTTTATTGGGGATGTCTTGCTAACTGCCCATGCTTTCCACCTGTTGTCTATTCCATTTGCACAACAGCATGTGAAATTGATTGTCAATCAGTGTTGCTACCTAAGTGGAGAGTTTGATTTCACAGAAGTGTGATTGACTTGGAATTACATTGTGTTGTTTAAGTGTTCCCTTTATTTTTTTGAGCAGTGTACAATAAATACCTTGTGTTTAATTGCCCCCTACTGGTGATAAAATGAAAATGTATGCTAATATCAAATTAAAGCCACACCTATACTAAACATCTATTATATGAGAAAATACTCCAATTCTAAACATACTCAAATTCCATTCATTATTGTTTGATTTTCAGTGATCATTCACAGCAGTTTCTAAGATATATTAATATCACTTTGGAACAGTTCTTCCAGACGTTAAAATGATCAAAATGCTTTAAAGAGCAAAATAATGCAAATTCTGTGAAGGAAAATTTGTATTCAGATTCTTGTGCTGAATTATGTCAGCTTATGCTGTACTAGAGGAGCTTTCCTGATTCCTCCCCCCTCCAGCTGTTGTTCCACTAAAAATTCCAGAATTCTCAGCCATTCAGCATGTGACACAGAATCAGAGAAACTGTAATACACATACCTGTATCTAGAGTATAATCAATTGTGGAAAGCTACATTATGCTTGCTACTGGGAGGGAGAAGGGTTAATTAACCTCAAAGGCAAGCCAAATGCAGATCATAAGACAGAAGGTAACTTTATGAGTAGCACTTGAAATACTTTGCACCATTTTGGGATTGACTCCGACTTGGAATTACTTTCTTTTTGGCTCTCCTCTAGTTTATTTGAAACCACAGTAAAGCTGAAGTTTTCCTCTGAATTGCTGCTGTTCTTCAGATTTTGTGGATGATTAATTTTCTGATTGGGGGAAGACTCAATCTGAGCTTTCAAGTTCAGGACAGCTATTATTCTCTCCACCCGACTTGAGGTTTAGCAGCTGGTTCATATGTAGGGTTTAGAGCTTATCTATCCCACTCCAGGTATTTGTGACAGAACACAATGATAGGTACAGGACAGGTGAATGATTCCAATATGTTAAAAGCTGGAAGGATGCCAACATGTCATTTTACCTTTGTATCTCACAGGGGCTTCTCACATGCAAAGAGAATGGAGAGTGGGGTGTGTGAACCCTACTGTAAATTGCACATGTGAGGGATCTAAGTTGCACACTCCTCCCCTTCCCCCCAGTCCATGGGAAAATTGTCTTCCATGAAACCAGTCCCTGATGCCAAAAAAGGCTGGGGACCACTGGTTCCGATAATTCTTTATTCTGAATTGTCTTAGATTTTTAGATACAACTTGACCTTAGATACTTATAGACAAGAATCTAATATTGCAGTTTAGCAATAGAAGATCTGACAATTGTCACTTTATGTTCCAAAATGACAATTGTCACTTTATGTTCCAAAATAAATTTGAGGCTTTTTCTTCATGCCTGAGTCAAACAATATTTAGCCATTCTCCTTCAGGCCAGACAACATATCTGGGCTGTGCTGATTTCATGGTGCTCTCAAGACTGACCACTGAGCTTTCAGTCTCATTACATAGTTATTTAATCACTAAAATAAGGTCAGAGGCAGGGGGTAGGCAGTCATGTGTACATCTGAACCAATCCTCATTGTCCCACTTAAGTGATTGCCAAAAGTATAAGGGACATGAAAAGAACCTGGCAGGACTCAGTGTACTCTAATGGAAAAAGCAGGATAGTTTTGAGGCAGAGCAGCACTTTTTCTTACTTCCAGGAAAGTAGTCCTATTAGCATTTGTCCTTGAAACGGGCACTAAAATTGCTATTGCTAAATTTCAATAAATCAATGTCCTTTTGCTCAAAAGAAAATCTCAATGCCTAGTTCTATCTGCTTGGTCTCATAAAATGGAAGTGTTAAGTAGATTAAGGAATAATTTGTGGTTACTTGGATTTAAATGTTTAAAGTACCATCCAAAAACATAAATTATCTGTTTTATCTTTCATTATATCTTATTTCAGAGTTACACTTATGTTGAAATATTAAGAAATTTGATAGCCGCCCCTCTCTCTGAGGCTTTTCTCCAATAACTGATTTCAAATTATCTTTGATTGCTTTGCATTCAGAATTTCTCCTCAGTCAAGAAGTTCCAAAACCTCCCAATGCATAATTTTCTAGTTAATGGAATTGGCAGCAAAAGTGCTGAAATTATGTTTCAGTTCACTATATAATAACTACTGCTTTATCACATTGGTCCTTGACAATATAGAATTGAGCCCAGCTGTCTCAAGTTTGTTTACACAAAACACTTTGGACAAAGAGGCTTTGACAAGACCCAGCTACTATATCATTCCTTTTTACAGCTGGAGGGTTTAGGAACAGTCAGGGGCTTTAGAGTTTGGTTTATTTGTCCAGTGTGTGAAGGAACAAGTAGAGATAAATATTATATCTCACTTGATATTATAAACACATTTTCCTAACAACCTGAACCTAAACATGGTGTGGATATACTGTAACTAACAATGCAGAGAAGACATCTGGGTAATATGGCAAGGCAAATCAGCTTAAAATCACAATGTGTTTTCTAAAATGCTTTAAATATTAACCTAGTTTAAAATATGTGACATTTGGAGCAATTTGTGTGTTTTTAATGACTAGACCTATTTTAAAGGTTACAGGTTGGCTCAAAATTATGCTTAAATCATGTCTCCACTTGCATTTAACCATGGCAAATCATTTTTGACCTGTGACCATTCCTCTCTTTCTTTTGCAGTGACTTTCCTGGCATGGCCGACTTCCTATCCGTTCTCCATGGCAGTACCTTTTCCTTGAGTACCAAACAAACGAGTACTGGCACATTTTCATGTCAAAATACATTGAGTACAAAATTTGACAAATTTCAAACCAGTTGAGTACCGAGATACCACTGTATTCCAACTTCATCCAAAAACAGATTATGGGAATGCAAATAATAAATGGCTGCCCCAAAGGTGCTTTTTCAAGAGGCAACTGGACTTTGGTTTTTTTCCCACCATTTTACAGATCTGCACATGTCTCACTACATTGTATTGCATATACCACATCAGTTTCTGTCTGGGTTTTTTATCCTTGGGATAGACAAGCTTCTGCCTTAGTGTATAAAGTGTGCACATATGTTGTGTGGGCTGAAAATCCTCCTGAGCTTTTTAGATATACTACAGTACAATGCAGTGAGATGTGCGGATCTGTACATTGGTGAAACAAAACAACCACTTCATAAAGACATGGCACAATGTAGGAGAACAAACCCCTCAGGACTAGATTCAGCAGTCCATCTGCATTTAAAAGACAAGGTCCACTCTTTTGAAGACAGCAAAGTCCACATTTTGGACAGAGAGGATTACTGATTTGAAAGAGGGGTCAAAGAGGCCATTGATGTCAAAATTGAACGGCTCTCTCTCAACAGAGGGGGAGGGATACAACATCAACTACCTCCAGTATTGCCCCACAGTTGCTCGACCTATTCCTATCTCCTTCTCTATGTCCCTCAGAATTGCCTCACAGAAGCCCCACATATCCTTCTCTCCTTCTCTCTCTCTCTAGCTCTCTCAAGCTTGCCAAAGAGAAGCCTCTTATCTCTATCGCTTTCTTCATCCCTCACTCTCCTTCCTTCCTTCCCGCCGAAACCACCTCCTCCGCCCGCCGCCTCTTTTCTCTACCAGGCGCGCCGACCGCTCGGTCTCTGGCAGAGCTTTGGCTTCGGGCGCTACCCCAATCTCAACCTCCGCCCTGCAGCCACCTGCAGCTGGTCCTTAGCAAGCAGCGCAGATAATCTGGAGCGGCGATTCAGGGGCCTCAGCTGAGTCCCGGCAGCGCCGAAGCTCCAGCTGACTCCCTCCCCAAAGCCTGTGCGCCGCTGCTTCTGTTCACCTCCAGCTACATTTACAGGATGCTACGAACAAAATGCATACAAAATACAAAAACTATAGTTTGATATTTATTGTATTAATAATTAAAAATAACACCATTGATGCTTCTCAGGTTTTACGGAATATTAATATTGCATTATGTCCAACATGGCAAATGGTTTGGATTTCATTTTAAGGGACGCCGCTTTGCCACTTAATCCCTTCTAAAAGCAATTCCGTGCAGCCGAGCTCGCTTTTCGTAACGGCGGCAATGGGAAAAATTCCCTTCCCCCCATGTTCTTTTTCCATTTAGTGAATGTGGAGAAAAAATGGAAGGAAGTCCCCCACAAAGAGAATAAAAGACAAAAAGGCCGTCGGGGTAAAAAGAAAGAAAAAAATCACGAGGGATTTGATTTTGCACTCGTAGAGCTTACGTTTCGTGGGGGGGGGGATTAACCCTTGCAGAACAGCCTCCCCCTCTCCGCGCCTGTATCCAATGAGAACGAAGGGGCGTGATCAGCCTCGCTTTCTTGCCCCGAGACTTATATAAAGCCTTGAGAAAGCTCGCACGCCCTTTCGTTTGTACGTTCGGAGAGTGGTAAGTTTGCAGCGGTTGGGAGGAAGGAGAGAAACGGGCGCCGCCATTTTGTGCGTGGCTCGCCCTCCCTTTCCTTTTTTATCTCCTCCTCTCACCCCCACCCTCTAGGGGTGATTTGTTTGCGACACCTATAAAAAGGCAACTTGCACGAGGTCGGCACTTTGGGGGGGGGGGGGGGAGAGACCGTTCTTGTGGGCAGCCCCTGGTCGGGTGCACTCTGTCTCCGTTTATGAGCGGTGCTGAGACAGTAAAACTTCGAGTAACGTGCAACGGGGCTAACTTGTAAAGCAAAGGATTAGAGAAAAGGGGAGGCTTCAAGTATAACCTATTAAGTGAAAAGGGCCACCAGTCGAGGCGTTTCCCCTTCCGCGTCCAAAGCCCCCAGTGCTGGACGGGAGCGCGATTATTGGCGGGAAAAGGAGAGAGCAGGCCAATCCCTCGCGGTTCAGCGTTTCTTGCGGCTTGAAGAATATGATTATACCTTTATTGTCAGAGTACAACGTATGTACAATGAGATTAGCTTGAGTTATTAAAAGATTAAACTCGCTATTCGAAGCTGTGCGGCCCTGGGAAAATGCAAATTGCGAAGATAAGACATTTTGCAAGAGTTGCTTCGGGGGGAGGGAGATGCTTCGAAATTGCAGTATTGATCTTGATGGGAGTGTGGCATATCACTGATTAATGGGCGTCATTTAATGATAAAAGTACACGATTTAAACTAGATGGACTTGGCTTCAATGCTCGACTGCAACTCAAATTAGCGGCTGGAGAGAGGGAAAAAATCTGGTGTATATGTACATGTACACATACACATAAAGTGTAAATAGTTCAGTTCATACTACTTTAAAAATGACTGCCCTGCACATTTTTGCTGGTGGACCAGGGTTGGAGGGAAGGTCTGGAAGAACATGGCTTACTTAAGGCCACATGGCGAATCACCAATATGAATTGGTGATTTCGTGCTGCATAGTTCAGAATGCTTTAATAGATGCAGAGTTACACATGCAGGGGAATAACATGAAAAGAAAGCCACTGCTGCCCTCCAGACATTAGGAGTAACTTAAAGCTTGATTACTGTACATGGATATTTGTCGTTTGATTTTAAAAGCCATCATTTTTTTTAATGTTCCAGGAAATAGGAGCCTAAAACCTGTGATGGTGTTGCTGTTAGACACAATGAACTCTGTGGTACGTTTAACAATTGAATTTATTTTTAAGTATTGCACTATATTTGTTTGAAGAGGCTTTTTTATGAATGAGTAACTAAGATTTGGTGTAGTACATTTTTAAATTTTACTCGTATGTTAAACTGTCAGGAGTATCCTTACTTGGGTACTTTTGTGAGAAATCTAATTTAAATCTTCACAGAATTCAGTTGCTTTTTTCTGGTTCTCTTCTGACTGTTTCTAAAAATTATTAGTTGCCTGTATATAATGCTGAAACAAATGTTAACAGAGGTAATAGTTGTGTAGGTTAAAATAAAGTGAATTTAAAAGGGGTTTGTGTCATAGAAAATGCTGGCAATATGTGAAGGAGCATAATACTCCATAATTGGCTAGCTCCATTTCAGCACGTAGGCATTCAAAAATTGGCTTGAAGTATTTGGAAAGAGTTGTGTCCTGTGGTAGTGTTCATAAGCCATTATGAACTTAAATATTAATTGTCAAATGTATAACTAGTTTGAATTTACCTTGGAGATGTGAACTAGAAGGGTCATTTTATCATGTTAGTGGATGTGAAAAATTAAAATATTTTGGATTCAAATACACAACTGATTTGGAGAATTTTAAAGATTAATATACAAATTTTGTATTTTTGTATCCTATTCATTTAATTTCTTGTAGTTTTAACTTTTTCTTCAATTATTTTTTATATGAGTTTGCATTTATGTTTTTAAAAATATTGTAATATGAAATGTTTGCTGGATAAGAATATCCTTATGAATGATTTTGGAAAGACTTTACTGGGCAACAAATCCTATAATTAGTAAAAATTCTCAATTTGAAATCACTGACTGTTGAAAATAAATCCTTGACCAAATACTATATATTTAATTATAGAGATAATTCCAACTGAAATGTTTTTGTCACTATAAAGATTATCATCACTATACAGGTAGTCCTCAACTTGCAACAGTTCATTTAGTGACGTTTGAAGTTACAATGTCACTGAAAAAAGTGACTTTTTCACACAACTGTTGCCCCATGATCACTTGATCAAAATTTGGATGCTCTGCAACTGGTTAATATTTATGACGGTTGCATTGTCCTGGAGTCAAGTAATTCCCTTTTGCAACCTTTTAACAGAGTCAATGAGGAAGCCATACTACTAAACTGCAGTGATTCACTTAACCTGCTGCAAGAAACTTAAGGTCATAAAATAGGGCAAAACTCACTTAACAAATATTTCACTTAGCAACCTAAATTTTGGACTCAATTGTGGTTGCATGTGATGACTCTGAAATTCGGCAAATCTGTTTTACAGAAATTTTTATCCCACTTTTTAATAATTAGCTCAACTCAGTGCCAAATATATTTAATACTCCTGCCTACTATTTTCCACAACAATACTGAGGTGTGTTGGGCTGAGTGAGGCCAAAAGTCTGCCAGCTGGTTTTTATGCCTGAAGGAGTCATACATCACAGTTCCCAGTTTCCCAGCACCTTAACCAAACTGCCTCTACTAAGAAGATACGTGTATAATGCCTCCTTTTTATTTGTAACATTTGCTTTTGGAGAAACTAGTGATAGAAATGATTCAAATCTTCACTTTGTAAGAAGAAGAAAAACATTCTTGTTGATGAAATGACATTCTTGTTGGAATCATTTAGGCCTACATTGATAATTAACATTTCTCTTATGGAATGGAATTTCTCAAATCTATTCTGTTGATTTGAAGATTACAGAGACAAAATTAATTTTGCTGATGGATGGACAAGAATGTAAAGAATGTGAGCCTGGCTTTGGAAGCCATAATTTGCATTCAATTGATATTTTTCCCTTTTTGGCATAGTGCTACATTTGTACTAAAATTCCATATAATAACTAAACCAATGCTTGTTTGAATGCTTTTTTACAACTTGTCCTTTACTTAGAAATACAAAGTATGGAATAAGAATTTGTTTGCTTTTTCTCTTTTCAGACCTGATAACACTACTATTAAGATGAAGGTATGTGTGAATTGTTTTTACTGAAATAAATGGTATAGAATGGCCCAACCAGTGATGAGCCTATCCCGAACCTGACTTCTTGATGAAAAAATGCCAATTTGGATCCGGCTTCTGAGGTTATGCTGCCATTAATACAACTGGAATTTGTTATGCAGAAACATTGCTGCTAGAATATTCTCTTACACTGATGCTATTTTGACTTCTAGATGAAATTCAGAGAGCAGCTGGGACGCATTTGACATTGGGTCTTCAGTTTCTGATTCCAAACATGCATCAAGTGAGTAGAATATTTTGGATTACTGTGTTCTGATTTATTACTAGTCTTAATTTAGGTGAAAGGGAAATAAATCTTTGCAACCCCCTGCAAATTTAAGATTCAATTTTAAAAACTCACTTCTCATTGGAGCTGCACTTTATCATATAGGCATTTTTTGTTGGGCAGTTCTGTCCTATTGACCCCAGTTGTGAACTAAGAATGCGATGTGGAGGGGAAAAACCCAAGTTTTTTTTTACATTGCCTTGTTCAGTATAATAAATATTCCATCATTGCTTTTCAACAGTGATATGGGAACAATCTTAGACTAAAGACAGCCATTATATCTTCTGGGAAAAAAAAAAGGTAAGTTGATGTACAACACAGATTATTAGCTGGATTTAGGACTGATGATAGGACTCCAATGAATAAACACTAAAATATCCAGACTATTAAACAAGCAGAAACATTGCTTGAAAACTGTTACAAGTAACTGCTTGTAATTCAATTGAATAACTACTGTACTTGTGTTAACTTTTGCTGAGAATGTACAGTTGTGAAAATGTTATATTATCTTGTTAATTAAATGCCCATATATGCAAATGTCCAACAGCAGACCAGAGGATGTAGACACTTTTGTGGATGTTTTTTTGTTCTTAAATGAATGTTTTAGCCAAAACACAGTGAGATAATTCTGAATAGTGCAATTTGTGTTAACTCAAATGACCCTCGTTAGGATTTTTGAGCACGGCATATGTGGCAAGATGTAAATTAGTATGCTCTGTTTCCTGCATTTGTCCATTTTTTATCAACAGTGTTGAAGTCAAAGGAGAATCTGAAGTTGACTTGGCCGGAGTTGCATCATGCATGAGCTCTAATGATCTTCGAAGATTTGAAGAAAATCAGTGCATTAAAAATGTAAAACTATTGCCTTAAGCCCCCTTCATGGGTTACTGCTTGTCATGGTGAAGGGGCTTGCATAGTTCAATGAAGGTATGAGTTATGCCATGCAGGGCCACCCAAGATGAACAGGTCATAGCAGAGAGTTCTGACAAAATGTGATCCACTGGAGAAGAAAATGGCAACCCACTCCGGTATCTTTGCCATGAAAATCCCATGGACAGGACCAAAAGGCAAAAAGATATGACGCTGGAAGATGAGCCCCTCAGGTCGGAAGGTGTCCAATATGCTACTGGGGAAGAGCAGAGGGATAGTACTAGTAGCGCCAGAAAAAGTGAAGCAACTGGGCCAAAGCTGAAAGGAGGCTCAGCTGTTGGATGCATCTGGTGGTGCAAGGAAAGTCCGATGATGTAAAGATCTATTCTTCATAGGAATCTAGAATGTAAGATCCATGAATTGAGGCAAGCCTAGACATGGTCAAACGAGATGACAAGATTGAACATCAACATCTTGGGAATCAGTGAACTAAAATGAACAGGAAAGGGTTAATTTAATTCAGATGAATCCCTCAAACAATGGAGTAGCCTTCATAGTCAATAAAAGTAGGAAAAGCAATACTGGGATACAATCCCCAAAATGACAGAATGATCTCAGTTTGAATCCAAGGCAAACCATTCAATATCTCAGTAGTCGCTGGTGCTGAAGAGGATGGAATTGACCAGTTCTATGAAGTCCTACAGCACAGTACAGAATTAACACCAAAAAATGATGTCCTTATTCATCATGGGGGGTTGAAATGCTAAAGTAGGAAGCCAAAAGATAACTGGAATAACAGGCAATTTTGGCTTTGGAGTATAAAATGAAGCAGGGCACAGGCTGATAGAATTTTGTCAAGAAGAATACTTGATGGTCATAGCAAACATTCTTTTCCAGCAATCCAAGAGACATCTCTACACATGGACATCACCAGATGGTCAACACAAATCAGATTGATTATGTGCTTTGCAGCCAAAGATAGAGTAAAAACAAGACCAGGAGCTGACGCTCAGATGATGAACTTCTCGTTGCAAAATGTAGGCTTAAATTGAAGAAAGTAGGAAAAAGCACTAAGCCACTTGGGTATGAACTAAATCATATCCTGATGAATATTCAGTAGAAGTGGCAAATTTAAGGAATTGCATCTGATAGAGTGCCTTAAGCATTAAATGTAGCACCAGAATGTATGTGTTTTTTTTTTTTTAAAAAAAATTGTACTATGCAATGAGTTATAAAAATAAAGATCAAATGCATCAGATTGGATTTTTATTGATGAAACTTCTTTGGTAGGATGGATAAATGGAAATATTTTAAAGAGAATAATTAACTTTCAGTAATATTTTGAGGCCAGAGTAGTACTGTAATGCTCATGTATAAAATAGTCAACAGAATGACTTATGAAAGGAATTTTAAATGTTTAAGCATTCCCTTTACTAGGACTTGTTTATGCCTTTAAATGAGTTTTATGTATTTAAATATAGAGAACTGCAGCATTCATAAATCCTACAGAAATCTGGGAGAATTCTTGGGGGATAAAATTTAAAAGTCATCAAAAAGGTTTCACGCTCCAGTCAGTAATCTGCATTTTAACTACACTTGTCCAAACAATGAAAAATGCAATTGACAGCCATTTTAAAAATGTAGCTGGAAAGTTTTCAGTCACATCTGATCAACATGCAGTTATATTGAATATAACTTCTGTGTGACATAGTTAGTCTTCTGGGCTAATGTGTTAAAAAGAGACCTGTCGGGTAGCAAGAAGCTTATATGAGGTTCTAAATATAAATGGTAACAGTTTAAAATTCGGTTCCAAAATAAACCATATTTCCTGTCTAAAAGCAATACAAACATTGCAGCTAAAAGAGAACTGAGCCTCTAAGCAAGTTTGGTTGTGCATTATCTACTGGATACAGTAAGTGCTTCTGGAATTGGTATTTGGATCCATAAAGCTTTATTGAATTAGCTTTGTTAAATGAACTGCAAGATAGAATACTGTATCTACAAAGACTGAATCATGAGTAGCAATACTTTTAGATTCTGAAGATGACTGTCCTGTAAAGAGTGACGGTTGCATTTAAAAGTGGAGGCAGGCAATTTGACCCCATGAAATACTTCACAGGTGTCATAATTTCCTGTAAGGGAAAATGTCAGGGCAGCACTGGCACGTCACACATCTCCAGTTCACTCCAGTGCAGACAATACTATGAAAGCTTTTAGAGTTGCCCACAACTGCCCATAGTCATTGACACATACTACAAAGGGCTTTGTGGATAAGCGGAGGTTGCACAAGGTTCCAGACTGCCCAAAGCAAATACCTGAATCCCATCTGGTGGAGATATGTGTTTATCAGACTTCAGGACTGCCTAGCCAGCATAATACAATTTTCTGATGTATAACAGTAATGACTGTCCCTGAATGACATGAATACACTCCCTTACCTTCAGTGCTGAAGAAGTTGCTCCAGCCTTCAGACAGACTTCAACTTCACTTGATATTTTACTGGTTTGCCGGTTTAGTTGTGAGAGCAATGAAAAATACAATCGGGGCTTTTTCAGTTCCAGAAACACTTGATAAAACCGTCTGGTAAAACCGTTTATACTTCTGAATTCCTTAAAGTGGAAGTGGGATCAATTAAAATGTCTACTTGACCCTCACATGAACATCCACTTCAGCTTTGTAATATTGGGGGTAATTGCTGGAAGACGAACAAAACACCAGCAATTTTAAAGCATGATTATAGTAATTCTATTTAAGATTATATGTTCCCATCTAATGGGAGCAGAAAGCCAGCAATTTTCAGCAGGATTGCAAGGAGAAAGGAAGAATAAATACGTATTTCTCTAGTAGTTGCTATATGTTCTCCATTACCAGAACTCCACAATCTTGCCTGGAAAGGCCAAACTAACATTTATTTTGATCAACTGGCCAGAAGATTAAGCATCCTAAGGAAGTCTCCAGCTTTGTACTTAAAAGTGAAACTTTCTGTATTTAAAATCTGTATGGCAGATTTTAGAATGAAATCCAGTTGGTATTACTTATGTTATTAGCTCCTGTTTAAATGATGGATAAGCTATGTACTGTTGGAATCCTTAAACAAAATATTTGCCTCAATATGCACAAACTTTTCCCCAATTAATGCTTTCCTAATTTTTCCTAATATTTGGCCTCTCTACTCTAAACTATTAATTTTAAGTATCTTAATTGTATTGGACCTATAATTTTAGATAACAAACCCGTGACCTGTTGGGCCAACCTTTAAGACAATGGTTAATCTTTTTGCATTTATTTTCACTAAAAAATCAGAATGAAAGTTACAAAGAAGAAGAAGCAGTTGCAGTTACCTTTATAACTGCACCTGGTTTAAAGAGGTACAAAAGACCAGCAAGCAAAGTGCATGGACTCAGTTACAGTAGTGATGAGAGCATCTTTGGAAGACCTGAAAGACCAGAGTAAAGTTACCCTATATAGAGAAAATTCTATATGGTTACAAGAAGTGGAAAACAACTTGAGAGTACATAATCAAATGTTCATAAGCAGCTGCCCTTTTTAACAGTAATTTGCAGAAGTTCACATTGTGCTTCATTACTGCTGTGTTGAAATGCTTGGCTGATTCATAATGTGAATCACAGGTAGTCCTCAATTATTTACTGACTGTTCAAAGTTACAACAGCGCAGAAAAAGTGACTTATGACCGCTTTTCACATTTATGGCGGTTGCAGTGTCCCGAGGTCATGTGATCAGCTTTTGCAACCTGACAAAGTCAGTGGGGAATCCAGATTCATTTAACAACCATGTTACTAACTTAAATGCAATGATTTACTTAATTAGCAAAAAAAGTCAAACAGGGCAAACTCATTTAACCAATCCCAAAGGTGCTTTTTCAAGAGGCAACTGGACTTTTTAGGTTTTATTTGAAGACATTTCATTTCTCATCCAAGAAGCTTCTTGAGCTCATTTAACCAATGTTTCACTTAGCAACAAATTTTGGGCTCAATTGTGGTTGTAAATTGAGGACTACCTGTACTTGAATTGGGATTATAACCTGGTGCCACGGAGGCGGCTGTAATGATCTGAATGCATTCTAAATGATGTGATGTTTCCTTAACTGCCGTGTTGAATTTTTGCAATATTTATATGCCACCTATTGTGATTAGGAATTTTATTCACGATCTCAGCAATACAACAAAGCCATTCAGAAATTCATCACCCCCTCCACACCCCCATCTCGGCAAATGAGCCTGTCACAGAAGCAGCTTCAGAAAAAAAATACCATTCATTCGCACCAGGGAGTGCTCAGGATCTCGGTGGGGGTGTGTGATGGTGGGGAAATCCCGTAACGCTCCCAAACCCTCCAAGCCTCCACCGGGCGCCTGTCAAAAGAGGAAAAAAAAAGGACGAACTTCCTACGTAACGTGCTACGCGAGGAATGCATGTAGCCGTGCGCATGCGCTATCTGGTTGCTCACCGCCTGCTTCCGAGCTCAGCTCCCCAGTAGCAGGCGGGGCGATAACCCTTGTGGAGCGGCTCGGGAGACCCCGGCGTTGGGGCTGCGCCAGCGCGCGCCCGCGCGCGCCGGCAAGCACCGCCTCCTCCTCCTCCTCCTCCTCGCCTCTCCCCTCCCTGCCTGAGCGGAGTGGAAGGGGGCTGGGGTTGGCTGGTGCCAGCAGCGGCGTGAGCGCTCGAGCGGCCGCCATTTTACGCAGGCTCCTGCACATTCTCCGGACACGCTGAGGGAGCGGAGAAGGGGCAGCTCCTTCACTGCGCCCCCACCACCCCCTCCGGAGCTCTTTCGCTCACCATTCATCACCCCCGCCGCTCGCCCACACAGGTCAGCCGCCGGCGGGGATTGTCAAGCGGAGGGGAGGGAGGGAGTCGGGCATGAAAAAAGGAGAGCCCCCCCCAATAAAACTCCCGGGAGGAGGAGGGCGCGGGCTGAAACCACCCGTGAGGGAAAGGGTCCCCCGGGGGTAGCCGGCCCTTCGCCCCCCAAAAATAAAAAAAAAATTGAAGTGGGGCTTAAAACAAAGAAGGACGGTTTGAGCCAGCGGCCTGTCCAAGTGCAGCGAGTGCCGCCGCCTGCAAGGCATTCTTGACTGCCGGCGGCGGGCTACGCTAGGCCGAAGGCATGGCATGGAAGCGGGACTCCATCCGCGTGCTCGCCTGCCTCTGCCCGTCCTCGGAACAGGCTCCCAGCGCCTCATTGTCCGGGCGCCATTCATTGGCCACGAGGCGCCGGCGGGGTGGGGTGGGGAAAGGAAGGAGCAGGGCAGGGACTCCCGGCTATGTGGCGGTGGGGTTAAGGGAGGGGGGGCTGTCGCCTGCCTCGGGTTCACCTAAAAACGGGTGGGCCCGGCGGAGAAGCTCGCTTGGGAAACAACTCTCCTTGCCCAGGAGTTGGTGGGAAGCGCATGGCGGGGCGGCGGCGGCAGCAGCAGCAGCAGAGGAGCTGTGATTTGTATGCATTGTTCCGGGGTGGGAGGAGGGAAGAAGCCGGACAGATGTCGAGCGCTCATTTTCTTCTCCTTACCTTCTCTCGCTTTTCCCTTCCACCCACCCAACCCCCACCCACAATCCCGCGTGGCGAAATAGGGCTCAGGCTGTTGCAATTCTTCTCCCGGAGGGGAAAAAAGGGGGGGGCGGGGAGGTGAGAGGGAAAGGCTGCTTTTCCGGGCGGAGGGAAGTCGGTCGCTGGAGGAAGTTGTAAGACATTTGAACGCGCCGAGCACGTGTTTCTCTCAGACTTATGGCGGCAGCCACCGCCGCCACCTCGATTGGGCGCGGATTAAGAGAGCGCTTTGTTCCTTTTGGCCTGACGGCTTAGGCCCTGTCAGAGAGGCGGGAAGGCGACACACTTTGAATGTAGTCGAGGAACGGGCCTCGTGGAGAGATTAAGTACGAAAGGAGCTAGTGGATGGCTATATAGCGGTGGTGTCTGCCCGTTTCTTCCCCACCTCCGTTTGCTGCTTGTTACTAGTTAGAAAAGCTTCTTCTGAGCTTTCCAGGGCGTGCTTCAGAGGGACGTGAGTCAGAGAGTTTGGCAGTGGTTTCAGGTTATTGCTTTGCGCTATTAGTTCTTTTCATTTGGATTTTTTTTAAAAAAAAAAGATAGTTAAGCTTCCTGATTTCGAAAAGCGGTAGGGAAAACGGGTTAAAACTCTGCAAGCATCTTGGAGGCAGCTGCATATATTGACACCCGAA